TGTATTATAATTATAAATGAAATAGTGTCCTCGTTATTCTTTAAAATAGGGTAAATTTCGCATTTATTATCTAAACTATCAATTTTGATTTGTTTTAGTACCTAAACTTTTAATATTTTTAAAGCCATACCCAATGTTTAGTTTTCATTTCATTTTTGTACCATATCTTAACACGTTTAGTATCTAAACTATCAATTTTGATTCGTTTTAGTACCTAAACTTTAAAAAAAAAAATTAAAACTTAGCGTTAAATTTTGAATCGGTACTAAAATTAAACATAAGTTAAAGTTTTTAATGGGTGCTAAAATAAAACAAAAATTAAAATTTAAGTATAATTTTAAAAAAATTAAAAATTTAAATACTAAAACAAATCGAAACTAATAGTTAATGACCTAAAAAGTAATTATATTGTGAAGTGAGGAGCCAATTAAAAGAGACGTAACATAGACACAAGAGTGAGTGCATGAAATGACATTTGACAAATGAAAATCATCCACCTATCTTCTATCTTATCTTTGAATAACTAATACGAACGTTATTAAAAATTTTAATATTTTTTTAATATTTTTGATAAAATATTATCTAAAATATTAATTTTTTTTTATCAAAAATATTAATTTGCTATTTAATTTTTGGTAGAAAAAAAATAATATTTTAGGTAATGTCCAATTTTAATATTTTCGATAGAAAAATAATTTTAGGTAATGCCCAATATTAACATTTATATAAAAAATAATAATGTTTTAAGTAGTGTTTTACCAGAAATATTAAAATAATAATAATATTTCTGATAGCGCATTTCCTTAAACGTATATTAAGACTTCCGCAACTGAGACATCCCCTCATTTTCTTCACTTCATTCATCTAATATTTTTTTTTCATTTTCTTCATTTGATCTAGGGTTTATAACACTTTTAGGTTTAATTATTTGTTTTTGTGTTCACAATATGTTCATTTAATGATTATTTTTGAAATTATATCTATTTTAGTATTCGTTAATAAGCTTGATTATCGATTAAATTAAAACGATAATATATCATGATATAACAATAGTTTTAATATGTAAAATTGATCCATTTATATTAATTTGATCATAATTTAATAAAGATTCAATATTTAAAAAACAGATTAAAGGATCATTTTGTCCCTAAATAAATAGGATATCAACAAGGTTATCCCTACTTTTTAATTGCATTAATTTTGTACTTGGAATCATTTAATTATATTAATTTTATGCTTTGATTGTTATAATATTAATGTGATAAACGATTATATTGATGTGACCATTTATTTTATTGACGAGGCACTTCACTTTGGAATGACGTGTAGTAAAAAAGTTGAATTGATTTTGAAATTATTAAAATTTATATAATTATTTAAGATATATTTAGTTTTTCAATAAATTGATTTTCGATCAAGTTTGAATCATAATTAATTTTTTGGTCGAATTTAAAAATATGATTTATTAAATTATTTTAAATCAAAATCAATTATTACTAAATCGGATCATATTATTATTTCCATGTTGTATATGATCAAACTTGAAGGATGATGTCAAAGGTGTGAGCATTTAATGTGAAATAATTGAGAGTTATCTTCGAACATCTACTGCCTTGTACTTGTCCTATATTAATAACAAAAAAAAATCAAACAGGAAAAAAACCTTTTTAATTTCGTTTTATTTTTAAATATTTATGATAATTTCCACTGTTTATTTGATTTTTACATATATTTTTCTTACTAAACCCTATATGTTTTACCTCTTATAGAAATATAGGATTATATATAATACTATATTTGGTTTTTATATATATTTTCTTCTTAACCAATTGGCAGTGCATATACACTTACAGACATAATTGTTCGCAGAGGCGGACCCATGACAAAAATTCAAGGGTTGCAAGAGCCTCAGGGGTGACACTTTTGAGTGGTGACACTTGTATTAGTGGTGACACTTGTGGAGGGGTTGCTTGAGATACCCCGGGCACCATGGAGGTCTGCCCCTGGATGAGGGGTTGCCCGGGATACCCCGGGCACCATGGAGGTCCGCCCCTGATTGTTCGAACTAATTTTTTTTTTGTAAAAATAACTTCTTTTTTATCAGTAAGGCTGTTTGATGTGTCGAATTTATTAAATTGATTTTGTGATGAACATCTTCCCCAAATTTATTAATAAAAACATCATATCTTAAAGTTTAATATTGGTTTAAGGGCATTAATGTACGTAGCACATTATTGCTTTATTGGTTTCAATTAGTAAGTCACATGCATGTTGGTGTACTTGAACATGCAGTCCACCTTCCACAATCATTGTAATCATAAAACACTTGCAATAATATTAATTATTTTATATACATTTTTATATAAATTCTATAAAAAAAATGATTGGTTTGATCTATTAGAAGAATATCATTAAACTAACGATGATAGGCTTTGGTCTCCATTGAAAATATTGGATCAATTACTTATTTGATCCCTCTAGAAAGCTAATTACTTCATTTAAGCATTTTATATATGAAAATGGGTAAAGTACACAAATGGTTTCCCGACTATAGGCGTTATTTTGTTAGGTCGCTCGACTATTAAAAATTATAAAATAGTTCCCTAACTATGGAACGTTTTGTTAAGTCGCTCGACTATTAAAAGTTACAAAATGGTTATCTGACTATGCATATGTTTCAAACTCATCCTTTTTTTTTTGTTAAAATTTGATGACAAGCTGAGTTGAACGTTAACCAACTGATTAAGATATGATAAAATATGATCACTGAATCTCAAACAACTATCATATCCTAATTGGTATGTTAACGTCTAACTTAAACAGTCGTTAATTTTTAAAAGAAAAAAGAAAAGTTTGGAACATATGAATAATTGAGTAACTATTTTATAACTTTTAATGTTTAAGAGACTCAGCAAAGTAAAGCCTTATAGTCGAAAGATCATTTTGTAACTTTTAATAATTGAAAGACTCAATAAAACAATTCTTTACAGTTGAGGGACAATTTGTATATTTTACTCTATAAAGATTAGCTGGCGAAAAGGGAAGGTGAGCCGTCATTATTAATAATAAAAACTTGCTTTACCTAATCCACTCTACATCTTAAATTTCATGCATCAAAGTCTCTTCAATTAGTAAGCTTTCAACATTTAAAATTAATTGATAAATAAATGTATTGATTGAACTTTAATTCGGATAATGCTTTTAATACTATAATAAATTTAAAAATGTAAATGTGATATTATTTAAAATATATAATATACTATTAATTAATTAGTGTAAGATTAATGTTTCAAAAGAATTAGTGTATACAAAAAGTTCCAATATATATATATATATAAGATAAATTTAGATTAATAAATTGTTTAAATCTCACAATTCAAGATAATTTTGTATTATATTTTGGGATGATATTTTTTTTTTGAATTCCATGAATTTCAATATGATTTTATAAGATTAAATTTTAAAAAATTAAGTTCATGTTGGGTTGAATGTTGTAAAGGGTGAGGTTGGATTCTATTTTAGGATAATCTTTTATTTGACTCAACTCGTGATAATAATATATATACATATTTAAATAAATTTAGTGATAATTGTTTTAATATCATTTCTCTCGATATTTTTTTCAACTATGTCTCTATTCTATCAAATAAAAATAAGAATTTTATATATTTATGTCAGATTGAATCAGATACGAGTTTTTATACTAAAATTTGAATCGGACTTCAAATTGGATGGGACCTTTTAAACTCGGATTAGGTTGAATTCGGATGGAAAAAGTACGCTTCTCGAGTTGAGGTAAAATTTGAATGGAATGAATATGCTACTCATGTCAAATTTAAATTGATCAAAACTCGATCGAACTCGACCCATTATCATCTTTAAGTATACATCAATTTTTTTGGACATATATAATTTTTATTGGGAAAAACATACATATTTTTTCTTTTTTTGTTGTTGTTATTTTTTAAAAATTAGGCAAAAAGACACCCGCGGTCCTGAACTTTCCAAAAAAAATTAATGTGACCCTCATCCTATTTTTTTGGATTAATGTGGCCCTTCACTTGAAAAAAAAATCCAATGTGACCCTTTGACCAGCATTTTCCTTAATTGACCAACGGTTCCGTTAATTCCTATTGTTTGGGTAAATTACACCATTCATCACTCAACAATTTTCTTCTCTTATATTTTGGTCACTAAACTCTAAAAATTTTCAATTTCGGAAACTTTAGAGACTTCAAGGACTAAGGAAAGAATTAGACCAAAATGGAAGGTCGAAAAGTACGTTATTGGTCGCTGTTTTCACGCGCTACCAACATCGTCGGCTTGGCTCCGATCAGGCTGAAGAAGCTTTCGCGAGATTGTCTCAATGTTTCATTTGTTTCGGCTAAGCCTATCGGAGCCGTCGGAGATGGCAGGAATGTGATGTGGGGGAGACAGCTAAGGTCGTCACTACTGGTACTCGAGAGCTCGCCGATTATTAAGCGGGAGATTTTGAAGTCGGTTTTAGCTTCTGCGTCGTTTGCAGTCGATGGTGGAAGCGATTCCGCTGGGTGACGTCTGCTTCCTCCATTCTATCTCGATCAACTCGTCTACGCTTTAGACTCTGACTCACTAACTCGATGTTATTGCAGGGACGCTGAGATTGCTCCGGTTAGATTTCTCCAGAAATATCCTGCTTTTGTCACTGGCTTCTTCTTCTTTATGTGGTAAGTACAAAATAACCAGTCAACAAGCTTGACCGTCAAATTCCCAACGGTTCGAACCGTAATCAAGATTTTGTCAAAGTATCCATGTTCACTACTTATCTCATCTTGTTCTGTCAGGTAATTCCTTTGCAGTGTTTTCTTCACATTTTGATGAAGTTCTGTTGATTATCTTTGTTATTAATGGAAATTATTTTTTGATCGTTTTTTTTTCCCGAGTTGGAGGCGCACATTGATCCAAAAAAAAATTGGAAGGAAAGCAAAAGCTTCGCCAAGAAATTGATTCGTTGCACACCGATGGCCAAGCGACGGCTGAAGCATACACGCCGCTCGTGGTCGAATGCCTTCGAGTCAACGATGTCGGTCAAGCTAAGAGACTGCAATCTCACAAAAATGCCCCACAAATATATTGTATCCTGGAACACGATGCTTTCTTTATATGCAAAATCAGGGTCTGTTGAGAATTTGAGAGCATTGTTTGATCAGATGCCTTCTCGTGATTCTGTTTCTTATAACACCGTGATTGCAGGTTTGGCTGGAAGCGGGTTTTTTCGAATCAGGCACTGGAGGTTTTTTTAAGGATGAATAGAGAGGAAAGGGAAACAGATTCATGTTCGGATTTACGTTGGTTGTTTGGGAATGAATATTTTTGTTTCGAATGCTTTGATTGATATGTACGCTAATTGCGGCGAGATTGATAAAACGTGGTGGGTTCTTGATTGTGATTAGTTCCTGCGTGAAATTAGCCTATTCTGGTAATGGCCAGGTTGTTCATGGGAAAGCCGTTCTTTCGGGAGTTGATAGCGATTTCCTTGTGTCTAGTGCTCTTGTTGATATGTACTGTAAATGAGGAATCACTAAAGATGCCTCGGTTGTATTCGATATGATGCGGTCCCGAAATGTAGTTTCTTGGAATGCCATGATTAGGGGTTATGCACAGAATGGACAGGATTTAGAGGCACTGTCCCTTTATGAAAATTTGTTGCAAAAGAAGTTGAAACCCGATGATGTTACATTTGTGGCTGTTCTATCCGCTTGTAGCCATGCTGGTTTAGTTCAAGAAGGACGTTGATATTATGATTCTATCAGTAAACGGCATCACTTTGCATGCATGATCAATGTCCTTGGCCGTTCGGGTTGCACGGGAGAAGCAGGGTGACATCGAACATGTGGAGATGGCCGCTGAGCGTCTCTTCGAATTGGACCCACCCCCCCCCCCGACTATAACCCCCGACTATGGAGTACACAAATGATCCTCCGACTATGGAGTATTGTTTTAATAAGTCTGTCGCAACCGTCTTTCGGTTGTGTTCCGAAATTGGGCTTCGACGTAAAAAATGAATTGGGAGTCGCCACCGATCATTCACTTTACGAAAAGTGGGTTGATCGGATACCTTATTTCTTACCTGATCTGTGTCTTACCAGTGATATGTCGGATCCGGGAGTCGGTTACGGTCAAGGAAGGATTAACACCCTTGAACCGCCCTTTCGGTACTATGTAATTTCCAGTTGTCTTTAATTAAGAAAGTTGAAAGTTTAAATTGAAAGGTAAAATAACGATCCAAAACTTACATTTGATTGATTGAAAATGTACCCTTAAGAAAGTAAAAAAGCCATGTTAGATAAAATAGTAAGAAATTAGTTAATTAATTAAATTAAAATGAAAAAAAAAGAAAAAAAAATTAAGTAAAATGATAAAATGAAGAAAACAAAGATAAAATAGTAAGTGAGAAGCAAATAATAAAATATATATATAAAAAAAGAAAATAAATAAAACAAATAAACAAAATAATAATAACAAAGTACGAATAATATATATATATATATAATAAATAAAAAAGTAAATATATATAAATTAATAAATTAAATGACGAAATGAACATATACACATATAATGGTAAAAAAAACCAAATAAATATAATTACAATATATATATATATATAGTAACAAATACTAATAATGATAATAAGTAGTTAAAAAAGACAATCACACCGAAAAGGAAAGAAAAGAAAGTAAGGTTTGGTGAAGTATAATTGACGAGAAGAAAAAAATGATGAGGGGTGGGGACAAAGTAGGTAGATATAATTAACTTGTTTAGAATATATATATATATATATATATATATATATATATATATATAATAATAATAGTAAAATGTATATATAACAACAATAATATCAATAAAAAAAAGAAAATAAATATAATATAATGATAATAAAAAATATAGAAAATTAATAGAAAATATATGTATAATATTATAAAATATAGCACTTAAAATAAAAAATCAAATATATATTAATAATAGGTATAAAAACTAAAATATTTAAAAAGAACATACGCATATATATATATATATATACACACACACATATATATATATATATAACAAAATAAATAATATAAAAACAATACAAGTAATAATACAAGAATAATAAAAAGAAAGAGAAAGTAAAAAAATATATTAATAATAAAATATAAAAAAATATACATATATAATATAAATAAGTAGAATAAAAAGAAAATATAATAGTAAAAATAATAATAAATATAATAGTAATAATAAAAATGCAAAAAAATAAATATATATATATATATTGGTAATAACGTATATAAATAGAGAAAAATTAAAAAAGTGATAAATTAAAAATAAAATTAGCAAGTATGTATATATGTATAAAAAAAACTAATTAAGGGATTAAAATGAAAGTAATGTAAATTAAGTGGGTAAATGTCAAAGAACATTGAAGATTAAAACCGGCAAAAATAAAAAAGTTTTCATTTTTTGATAGATTTTCGTACTCTCATTCCAAAAATGTAATTTGTTTTTGCGAAATAGCCTCTAGGGAGCGTAGATCTGAAATCAAAGTTTTGAAAAAACTCCCTCTGGGTCATCGGCTAAAACATTTGTCTTTGGGGTTCTCCAAAGAAAACACGATTAACAACGCATGCAAGTGAAAAGTATAGAGAAACAAACGAAAGATAAAAAAAGCTTTCACCTTTATTACTTCGAATCATTTACAATAGTCTCGAAATCACTTTTTCTTTGCTCGTATTTTTCTGGCGTTCCTTTTGTGTAACTCCTGTCTGTAAATCGTGTGTTACAATGGCTATTTATAGTGCTTGTGGATCCTATCTTTAGGAGTTTAAATCATAGTAGAACTCTATCATATTTTTAGGAGTTTGAATCTTAGCAAAATTCTATCTTATTTTTAGGAGTTTGAATCTTAGTAGTACGAAAAGGTGTGTTGACAAAGTCCATCTACTATTAAAAGTTACAAATATACTTAGACCACGTAATATTGTTTTTTGAGTCTATCGACTATTAAAAGTTAGAAAATGATCGTTTGATTATACATCATGTTCCAAACTCGTTATTTTTCATTAAAAGTTGATGATATTTTGAGTTGAACGTTAATATGTAAATTGCGATATGATAAAATTGATCTCAGAATTTCAAATGACTATTATATCTTAGTCATAATGTTAACGTTCAACTTAAAATATCATTCATTTTTAACGAAAAATGAAGAGTTTGAAACATAATGAATAGTCAAGTGATTATTTTGTAACTTTTAATATTTGAGGGATTTAACAAAATAATATTTTATAGTCGGAGGATCATTTTGTAAATATTTATTGTAACACCCTTAACTCATAAACATATCCGTATATGAGTCAAATATGTCACACCAATCATTCGAAATATTTATTATTTAAAAACTAAAAAAAATTATTTCTTTAAAATCTCCATTTTTTTATTTTAAAACTAATAATCGCGAAAAATCATAATTTAATATTTAAATATCAAAATTTAAATTCAATTTAGATAATATTTTAGGTAGTTCTGTACTGTAACATATCTTAAATCAAAACTGTCAGAAAAATGTCTGATTTGAAAATAGTTTATATCATAAATAATTATGATTTAATAAATCAATATTCATAATTAATAATGTTATTTGTAAAACTAAACTTTTATAACTTGAAACAAAAATATGTTAAAAGAAACTCGAATCAGAGCAGCTAGAAACTTCTTTGATATATATGTCACTACCAAATAAATTAATAGACAAGATGTCCTTACTGATTCTGGTAGCAAAACTAATTCCTCGAAAATGATATTGATGTGCTCCCTATTTTCTCCTTCTAGCTTGTATCTACGTGTGAAATACTTACACGTTAAGTTTTCTCTTAGTGAGACAATCAAGTAAAATAAAATAAAATATTTAACGTATAAAAAGACAATATTTGTATTGTATAAAAATATTAATAAAATAAAACATGTATAAAATCATATGTTAACTGGAAATAAGAATTTATTATAAAAAACTGTAATTCAGATTGTACTATATCATTTTAGATTTGTATTTTCTATTTTAGTTCATATCATTATAAAATTGTACTTTTCTTTTCGAAATTAGATCATTTCAAATCTATATTTTTCTTATTCATATTAGACATTTGTCTATTGTATTATTATGAGAATGCGCCGTACACGAGTTAGATAACTAGTGAACGCGCTATATATAAATTTATTATTAGAATATATCACTCCACCTCGTGTACCACTAAGGCACCCGAGTCAGACCACGAATAACTCATCTTGGTGCCATATAATACATATATAAATTAGATGCACCGAATCATTTCACCTTAACAAACATCGAGCTTAACGAACAAAAGATTGAGTAACAAATTTTTTTAACGAACAATGAGTTGAGACGAGCACTAAAATTTTTTAACGAATGCAAATCAAATACTATCCAATTCTCGATCGACTTACTCAATAGTACATTTACTTATAATCACATTAGATTAATATAAAAATTAATATACATTAAAGCTCCATGAATCGATATTTTTCAGAATTTCATCGGTACAGAGAAATACGACGTCGTTAGAGTTATCTTCTTTCATGAGTCGATAAGAGAAGATTTCCCCCTTTTTGGTTTAGTTAGCTTCAGCTTTCTTTACTGAGAGCTTAAAGTGATGGCGCTGAAATTTACCATTTCGTTCCCAATTTTCGCGCCGCCTTCGCCGAACCCTTATCCCAACACTAACGAATCCGGCAATCGACCGCCGACGGAAATTCGATTCTCCCGCTGGAACAACGCCAACGCCGAGAAATTCAACCAACGCCGACGAGGCCAGCAAGAAATCGAAGACGACATTCGCCGCAGCCGCCGCTTCGATTCCGCCTCCAAGATCGCCTCCACCATCGAAACCTCCGCCGCGGCACCACCACAACCAGAAGAAACCTACAAATCCTTTGGATCCCCTTCCTCTCCTTCCAGACCTTCAATTCCTGGCAAGAAATCCAAGTACTCCAAACCCCCAAGCCACCCAGCGTTTCGCAAATCCTCCCGAACATCCAATCCTCCTCCACCCTCTCCACTTGACAAGAAACAAGCGAATGTCGCCGTTGGCGAAGACGGCCTTTCTTTCGTCATCGACGGTGCGCCGTTCGAATTCAAATACAGTTACACTGAGACGCCGAAAGTGAAGCCGGTAAAGCTAAGGGAACCACCCTACTCGCCTTTTGGACCCACGACCATGGCTAGGCCATGGACTGGCCGAGCTCCACTGCCGCCAAGTAAGAAAAAGATGAAGGAATTCGATTCTTTCGTATTGCCTCCGCCTAACAAGAAAGGGGTCAAGAGCATACAGAAACCCGGCCCGTATTTGCCTGGTTCTGGTCCAAGGTATGTCCAATCGAGAGAGGCGATTTTGGGAGAGCCATTGACTTCAGAGGAGGTTAAGGAGTTAGTAAACAGTTGCTTGAAGTCTGAACGACAGTTGAATATGGGTACTAATCCGATTGTTTACTACTTATTTGCATTTTCATTTCATTGAACTGAATTTCTCGAACAAATTTATAAGCACTTACCATCTTCCATGCTAAGTAAAGAAGTAAACTAGAATAGATTATGGAATTTGTTCGATAATCTGAATCATACTGCATTGCCCTGTTTTTTGTGAAATTATTTCTTTGATGTTTAGGTAGGGATGGCTTGACGCACAACATGTTAGATAATATACATGCTCATTGGAAACGTCGAAGAGTTTGTAAGATAAAATGCAAGGGAGTTTGTACGGTCGACATGGACAATGTGTGTGAGCAGCTAGAGGTTTGTACTTTTTCTTAAGATTGGTTTATCTTAACTTGTGTTATTGTTTGGTTTATGAATCATTTTGATTTGTGTATCGTGTTCGATCTACATATGATTTGTCAGGAAAGAACAGGAGGGAAAGTTATTTTCAGAAGAGGGGGAGTTCTATTCCTTTTCCGAGGAAGAAATTACAATTATAAAACTCGTCCTCGTTTCCCTCTTATGCTGTGGAAACCTGCTACCCCTGTGTATCCGCGGTTGATTCAGCGTGCTCCGGAGGGTCTAACACTAGAACAAGCAACTGAAATGAGAAAGAAGGGGAGGAAATTAATGCCAATACGCAAACTTGGTAAGCTGCTGGTAGGAGTGGACATTGAAACTTTATAAAGAATGCTTCAATTTTGCCCGTTTTAAAAAATGTAAAAATTAATGTTTTGCAGGGAAGAACGGTGTTTATGCTGACCTTGTAAAAAATATTAGGGAGGCATTTGAAGAGTGTGAACTTGTCCGGATTAATTGTCAAGGGATTAAGGGAAGTGACTATCGGAAAATTGGTGCCAAACTTAAGGTTCGGTATATTTATCTAGTTGATGTATTTTGTTACAACTCTTCCTCACCATTAATGTCCCATAACCTGAATTATTAACTGGCAGGACCTGGTCCCATGTGTGCTAATCTCATTTGAACATGAGCACATACTAATGTGGAGAGGAAACAATTGGAAGTCATCCTTCTCTAAACCAGCAGTAAACTCGGGCATAGAAAAAACCTTGGCAATCGAAGCTTCCATTACCAGACAGTTGGAAGGACAAGAGTTGTCACCAGCTTATGTTCTAACAGTTGGTTCAAGCTCACCACTCATTAGTTCACAAGATAGTAGCATTGAGCAAAGGGAGTCTGTTGAAACAACATTAGATGGGGTAGATTTTTCCAGTGATGAGTCTGACAGCGAAGCGAACACCTCTAGAAGTTCAATCTCTGATTATCTTATGTCAGCTGATGATGAATCTGAAAGCATGCCCTACGGTCTGGAGCCTATATTAGATAATTCGGGCAAAGCAAATGAAGAGTCATCAGCTATGCCAACAAAAAGTCATGTCAGGCCCGGGACTCCTGAGAGTAGTCAAAATCATTCGGTGTCTTCTGTTTCTGATTTGTTGAATCATGACAAGCCGGAAATTGTAGCTGAAGCTTTACCAGATATCAATGGGCCAGCAGAAACAAGTTCACCTTGTACTGATAGAGTTTTGCATCTAATGAAACAGGCTGTTGAGAGTGGGAGTGCAGTTGTATTAGATTATGCTACTTTGGATGCTGATGAAATATATCAAAGATCCGTTGCCTTTTCCCAGTCCGCACCGCCTGGCCCGGTTTTTAGGCGACAGCCTCTTAAAGTGGCTATCCAAAAGAACGAACAAGAAGAAGAGTCTAGGAACTTGGAAGTGAAGGAAGTCACAGCAGTTTCCTATAAGAGAGGAAATGAAAAACAAGCTTCTAAAACTCGAAGATTCAAAGACATGGATGAAATTCATTCAGACGTCGTACCAAAAGGAAGCCTGAGAGTTGATGAGCTTGCTAAACTATTAGCTTAATCCACTTTTGTAGGCATATTTTACAGCCTGAAATCTTCCCCTGCTTATGCTCATTTCATTAGCTTCATCTTTAACATGTATTTATGAAATGCTGCTAAGGTGTTTTCCAGAAACAATTTAGAGAAAACAAGAAGCTTCTTTCAGTAATCACTAATACTATGTTTGTTTTTTCACTTATTGCTTAAACAATTCAGTAAATTATTTATGAGAGAATCCAACAACTTGACAGTGAAGAATGTTAACAGTGTTCTTTTAGATGATATTACATAGTAGGCTTTTTGCTGTACTTTTCGTCGTCGTCTTCGACATATCTCTTCCAGAACCAATGATCCTTCCAGAGAAGATACACTTCCTCGATCGGAACTCGCTTTGTTTCCGGCAAGAGGAAGAAAATGAAGCTGCTCATTATGAATATCAACCCAGCGAATAGCAAGAAAATCCCATACTCGAGGTGACAAAGCGACACCAAGAAGCACTGTGCTATCAAAGCTGTGAAGAGCAGGTTGACACAGACCACCATGCTTTGGCCAGCTGATCTAGTCTCTAACGGGAAGAGCTCGCTCGGAACTAGCCATCCTAGGGGACCCCATGACCGTCCGTAAGCAAAGACGAATAAGCAGATGATCACCACAAGGAACCAACCAATGGCTTGTGGAAGTTTTTCTCCTTCTCCAAACTTAAGGGCCAGAGTTACAGCCACCGCAATCTGCATCGAAACTCAAATCGTTATATCCACATACATAACAATGGTGCTTAGCAACAAAATGTGTTTATAACTTACCATGTAGCAGAACATCTCTGTACCGGCTTCCAAAAAGAAAGCTCTTCTTCCAAATCTGTCCACAAACGCCATTGAAACGAGTGTTGCTAGGACAAGCATTCCACTCGTTAAGACAGAGGATATGAGGGATGCCCCTGAGCCAAACCCCAAGGTCTGAAACATGACAGGAGCATAGAAGAGAATCGAGTTCATGCCGGTAAGCTGTTGGAAAGCCGGGATTCCTAAAGCCCCTAATACCAACTGCGGACGATTCTTCCTCTGCAGCAAGTTCCTGAACGGATGCTTTATTGCCCGTGCTGCATCGCTGGCCTCTATAAGATCAGCAAATTCGGCTTCGACATTGGGGGTACCCCGAACTTTTATCAACACCCTTTTTGCCTCTTCAAGTTTTCCTTGTTCTACGAGGCTGTTAGGCGTCTCCGGTAACGCAAGGCCGCCGATAAACATCAGTGTAGCCGGGACAGTAGCTAAGCCAAGAGATAATCTCCAACCCCATGGATGGATCTTATCTGTTTTATAGTTGATCAGGTTTGCTACAAGGATTCCCATGCAGGTTGTGAATTGGAAAAGCTGGTTCACCGCTCCACGATGCTTCGCCGGAGCCATCTCGGAAAGGTACAAGGGAACTGCCTGCAGCATCATAAGTAAGATTAGTGACCACCGTTATATTTTCAGGCTCAAGGAGCTTTGCTCTTACTTGATTCCCAAATCCAATGCCTGCACCGAGAAGAATCCGTCCTATGATCAACATTGTGATATTAACCGCAGCTGCATTGATGACTCCTCCGAGGAAGAAGCTGACGGCACCGACGAGGATGCTCGCTCGACGTCCTTTCTGCCTCGTTACATAGGAGGCTCCAAACGTGGAGACGAGACCGGCAAAGTACAACGATGACGTGAAAAGAGTGAGCAGCTGGTTGTCATATTTGCAGTAGTCAGTTTCATGGAGATGTGCCTGCTTCCTTCTATATATCTTTGGGAAAAAATCCTTCAAGAAATCATCCATGGAAGTCACTCCACCTGCAGCACAAAATTAGTATAAAAACCAAACATAAGCTCAGTGATTATATATACATATATATATGTGTGTCTGTGTGAAGATTTTATTTTGATGAATTAGGAACTAAATTAGGTGAAACTCCCCATAGTTCAGCAGCATTCAAAACAAATTAAGATCAGACCATTGACTTTAGAGTCCTACTGGAAATGAATTCCTCTCTCACCTACTTTTTATTTTCTCGGGAAAATTTTCTTCTCTCTTTTTTCCAACATGTGAAAAAGGTTTCATGAGATCCAGTAAATCCGGAAGATATGATACAAATCTAAAAAGATTTCAACATTTGTAAACAATCAATAAATGACCATAATCAATACAAAGAGAGAGAAAAACAGGCTGAAAATACAAACCAATGAATCAAAACAAAAAAAATGTAAATCATAAAGAAAAAAAAAACCTCACCAGAAACACCAAGATCATAACCAAAAAGAGATCCCCCAGTAGAACCAACGAGGCAAGCAAATATAAAGTAATTGGTAATCCTGTATTCATACAGATGAGCTCTCTTCAAACTCCCTCCTTCATTGCCAAAACCTCCACCCGCCATGGCGGAAAATGCAGTAAACAAAAATCTAAACTCTGGGTATTGAAGAAGATGAAGAGCAAGTCCAGAAAGTAATATATATATATATATAGGCAGAAAAAAGCCAACGCCTTCTGGTATGAAAGTATTCTTAAATTAGTAGGCAGTTATTATACTATTTTAAGTCTTCGCATAAAGACAAACCATGAAGAAGACTGTTCAACGTACTCGTGCATTCTACTGAATTACAGCATAAAAATCACGGATTTAGGTGAGATGATAAAGATCTCTCTTAACAAATAGTCGGAGGTCTAATCCTCCTTCTAAATATAGAATAATTCCAAAAATTATTATCAGTATTCACTGATATTAAATTTACAGAACGAGAAGAATTAACTATCCGTCAAAATGGATATCTTGATAAACCAAAACATGTATTAAAAGGCAAGGTATAGCTGGACATTGAGTCCGACAAGTTGGATGTTTTATCTTAAACAATGTAATACTTTTGTGTTTATCTATATAATTTTACAGCTCAATTTAGCTATTCCACAACTACATATCGCTTAACCCGCTGATAACGAGCGATGGGCATTCGACATGAAGTCCCAATTCGATCCGATTTGATTCTGTAAGATAAGATTTATCAGGTTAAATTTAGGGTAAAAAATACATAATCGGACTAAGAATAATAATATATTTGATCTTTATATATTTAAAAATAATTACTATAATAGTCTTTTATCTATATTTTTAGTTATGTCCTTATTTTATCTAATAAAAAATAAGAATTATATTCAGCCATTTATTTTTCCTCTAAGAGTTTGGATAAGATGAGATGATGAAGAGCTACCTTTCAAGCGTTGAATTTTCACTCTCATCTTATTTGACTGGAAAATAAATTTTAGGTTTATTTGAGAAGTAAGCCCTCAAACTATACCTAAAGTTTTTTTATTTGAACTAGGTGCCTAAAGTATAAATTCACAATTTTTTTTTTGGATAAATCATCAATTTTCATTACCCAAGTAACCATTCTATTACAAGAACAGAACCTGCTACAAACAGCAGTGTTCTGTTATAGAAGCATTCTACTTACAATAAGAATTAAGAACAAGAAATATCACAGTGCTTACAAAGGGAAAAATTAGCAATATCATTTCGATTTGTTTTCCTACCCCTCAGTTGAAAGCGAACGACGTCCTTAATGGCAAAGAATAACTCTTGAACTTTTTTGGAGAAGCCTTTGAAGATCCTCTTATTTCTTTCTTCTCAGAGAAAGTAGATAAGGGCGTTAAGAGCAAGTTTCATAATCGAAGTTAACAATGATTTTTCTTTCCAAGTAGAGCTTGCCCACTATAAATTCACAATTATTTTGGGTCAAACGGTTATTTCCTAAAAATATCCCTTCAGCCAATCAAACAGAAGTTAATTTATTGGTTTTTATTTAAAATAAAAATTAGGGTAAACTATGTGTTTAGTACCTAAATTATCAGGTTTAGTCGTTTCAGTACCTAATTTTTTTTTTCAAAACCATACCTAACATTTAATTTTTGTTTCATTTTAGTACCCACAATTAAAAAACTTAACTGACGGTCTGACGTAGTATAGATTTAGTGAACGGATGACCAATCCGAACGATGGACCGCGAGAGAATGACGACTTGACCAACATAGTCCAGTTTCAATCCCATAGGACAGTGGACCATGGAGATCGTAGGATGAAGAAATCGTAGAGTCCATCGTCCATTAGGGGAGATTGATGCGTTTTTTATGAAACGGAGGCCAAAATTTCGTTAAGGGGATCAAAAAGGTGTGAGTTATAACGTTTGGGCTTCATCGACAGACGGATGAGACGACGGACGAGTCCGTCCATTAAATTTTTAACGACATATACTAAAATAAAATAAAAACTAAATGTTCAATATGATTTGAAAAAAATAAAAGTTTAAGTACTAAAATGAACAAAAACTAATAATTTAGGTACTTAATTCACACTCATCTCTCTATTTCTCTACTTAGTTTAGAATGAAACTCCTCTATTCAATAATAGATAAAAAGATAATTGTGACTTTAAATCTAATGATGAGTTTAATGTTAATTAATAGAAAATTACAAGTCAGTATATGATTAATTGAAAGATGCTTTTTTAATGTAGATAATGATTGGGATCAATTTAGTTACAAAATTGTGATTTAGGTATCTAATTTAACTAAAAATTAAACAAATACTCAATTATAAAATGGTAAAACTTGAGGACTTATTTTACATAAAAACCTAAATATTTTATATATATTTGAGCTTATCCATTCGAGACGACTTCTCGTTCATTGAAAGCCAATAAAAAATAGAGAAAATAATCTCAGTGACCGAAAATACCTTATAATATACGATTTTGACCAACTTGTTTTCGATTTACCAAAATGACCAACAAAATCGCAATGCGATCTCTAAATCGCAACGCGATCTCCAGTATCACAAATCAGTTTCCAGATTCGCAACGCGATTTTGACTATCGCAATGCGAATATGTAAATCGCAACGCGATCTCCAGTCGCAAATCAGTTTCCATATTCGCAACGCGATTTTGACTATCGCATTGCGATTTTTCAAATTCGCGTTGCGATTTTAGAAAATTGCAATGCGAATATGTAAATCGCAACGCGATAATATAGAATCGCAACGCGATAATATAAAATTGCAACGCGATTTTCCAAATTTACGCTAGTCCAAATTCGTTGCGATTGTCCAAGTTCACGTTGCGATTTCTTAAGAATTTTCTCTAAAAAGATAGTATCCGCGTGGACGTTTCGAAGACACATATGACCACGACCACGACCCGAGAAGGGACGGGACGGGACGGCTGCGGCGGCGGCGCGCGAGAGTCCACTTTGTTCTCTTCCACTCAACAAGGAAGTGGGAAATCCAAACCTTAAATACTCATTCCCAATAGTGTTTCCAATACTATGTGGGATTGAGCATTGCAAATACTTGGGAATCTTTTACACTATCGCAACACATTTTTTATTGTTTCAAACTAAGATCTTACAAATGGCTTGGGAATCTTTTACACTATCGCAACATATTCTTTATTGATTCAAACTCCACGTGAATTTGAAATAGTTAAAATGTAAACTTATTTTGGATTTTTCACTATCGTAACACTTTTTCACTATCGCAACAACACGTTTTTCAAACTCTCGCAACACATTTTAACTATCGCAACATATTTTTCAAAATCGCGTTGCGAATCTGGATATTCGCGTTGCGAATTTAGAAACTGAGTTGAAAAATTAGAGTTCGCGTTGCGATTTTGTTGGCCATTTTGGCAAATCCAAAAAAAGTTGATTAAACTCGTATATTATAAGGCATTTTCGATCACTGAGGTTATTTTCTCTAAAAAATAACCCTATTTGTCAGGTCATATAATAAATAGTTTAACTTTTTTAAATAAAATTTAGAATTATTAGTCATGTAAATAAAATAAATAAATAATATATTTTATTTAAATACATAATCTAATTCCACTTTAAATATAATCCAAACTATACTTAACCATTAGGTATCAATAAATTAAATAAAAAGACAAGAAAATATAACAAAGATTCGTCAAAATCAAAACGCAAAATAAAATAAGTGTCCGGATCTATAGCATTTTTCACTAATAGATGTTTAAAACATTTTTTGAATGATCCTGATGTCTAACGTAATAAATATTATCATTGTAGTTATACATACTGTCAACGACATTAATTTCCTTCGTTAAATGACATGTGACAGAATCTGGTAATTTTTAATTTTTTATATAAATTTTAAAAAATAAAATTATATTTTTTAAAAGAAGAAAACGTAAAAAATCCAAAATAACTTCATAACTTTGAAAACATTCATTTCAACTCCTAAACCCACGCTGATCAACGCCTTTTACCATCAACGAAGCTCCACCCGACCCCACTTCCCTTGGCTCCTATGAAATCGAGATTGATCGATGGTGAATCGATGTTTTATACCCTACGAAACCTAGGAGAAAATCGCTACCCCACGCGATTCTGAAGGCCAATGGGCGACATCTGAGATAGTGTATGACTAGGAGGATGGCAAAGACTATATCGGTGGTCGTGGTCGGAAATGACGACGACGACAGGTTAGAGTTAGTGTTTGTGGATTTTATGGTTTTTGGGTTTTTCTTTTTTATAATTTAAGAGAAATTAAGATTCTTTTTATGAATATAATAACATTATTAATATTTTAAATTTTTTTTTAAAAAAATTATCAGATTATAACACATGTCACTTAATAGAAAAAATTAACTCCATTAATGACCCAAACACCTAAAAGTATATCAATTCATAACATTAAGTACTAATATTATTCAAAAAATAATTTATACACATATTCGTGAACCGTAATTTAGACACTTTCTCCGTGACATTGATATACAATAATTTTATAGAAATTCTTTTCTAAGTTTGCGATAAATAATCTTTTGTCTATTACAATAATTTTATCGATCTAAAAATCACATAAATAATCAATGATTTCGAAGAAGAAAATATTAACGAATGAATTCTTACTTCTTAGAATATGAGAGGTGCAAAATATGATTTTTAAATATAAAGAAACTTAAGTTTATGTGAGATAAAAGATAATTTTATCCTAATTGAAAAGTTTGATTATGAGTTTTATTTATTGTATATTTTAAAAAATATTAATAAAAAATATTGTTAGGCTATTCTATTTCAATTTCTAAGTTTATTTATTAAATAATAATGTTATCTACATTAACCAGAATATTTTTTATTAACATTGCCCGAACTTTTCGTGTCATCAAATACTTTTTATTTTATATATATATATATATATATATATGTATGTATGTATGTATGTATGTATGTATGTATGTATGTATGTATGTATGTATGTATGTATGTATGTATGTATGTATGTATGTATGTATGTATGTATGTATGTATGTATGTATGTATGTATGTATGTATGTATGTATGTATGTATGTATGTATGTATGTATGTATGTATGTATGTATGTATGTATGTATGTATGTATGTATGTATGTATGTATGTATGTATGTATGTATGTATGTATGTATGTATGTATGTATGTATGTATGTATGTATGTATGTATGTATGTATGTATGTATGTATGTATGTATGTATGTATGTATGTATGTATGTATGTATGTATGTATGTATGTATGTATGTATGTATGTATGTATGTAAAAGAATTTTAGTTGAATTATAATTTTATTTATTTTATTAGTTTTTTCTTGTAAGACAAGTAACTACTGTCGTATAGTATATTTTGATTATAAATTTAACAATGATCAAACTTTTAACCTATTTATTTCCTTCGTTTTCTCTTAACACAAGCTAGAGCAATGGTTTGAGAATGTCTAAAGAATATAGGGCTTGTCTTCAAATGCTTTCAATGATGTATGATTCATCCGACGTCGATGAAACTGGAGACTTGCCTTTAAGCTCCGATGGCGTCACCGGAGGGTGCAGCGAACCGGTTGAGAAACGGCTCATTGAAACCGATGTAAATTCAGATGAGTCTATTAGCCCCGAAATCGATCAAAGTACTGTCGACTTGCTTTTAGAGTTCGCTGCCATCATCGGAAGGTGCAGCGAACCGGCTCACTGAAACCGATGTAAATTCAGATGAGTCGATTAGCCCCGAAATCGATGGAATCGCCGAGGGCATCATCGGAAGGCGCAGCGAACCCTTCGAGAAGCAGCTCACTGCAACCGACGTGAATTCGAAGCAATGCAGGCTTTCCATCCCTAAAGATTACGTAGTGGCCGCCGTGTCGCCGTTATTGAAGGAAGACGAGGATATAAGGCGCCGGATTCCGGTGAAAGTTTACGATGGCGAGTGGAAAGAGTATTCGATGACGTTGAAGCATTGGTCAAACAAAATCCATGTCCTCAAGGAAGGCTGGATGGAATTCTGCACGGATCATGGTTTTCTCGCGCACCGAGACTTCGTTACGTTGCTGGTGTTTAGGCACCGTCGGAGCGACGGTCTTTGCTTTCAGATCACTTGGAGAAGAACGGATATTGTTGAACCGGTGAAGAAGAGGAGAAATCTCAATGCCTGACCGCATGTTTAGGTCGTATACTATGATGTTTAGCTTCTTGTTTAGGATAATGGTTGTAATTTTACTACGTTTTTGCTGGTGTTCTAGTAAAAGTTCTAGCTACTCTTTTTTCTTTCGGCCGTTTAGGGGGAGTCTCGGTTCAACTGAGTTATGAAAACGAAATCCATTTAAAATTTAATTAATGTTATAGGAATAATAGAAGAACAGATGATACAGGGGAAGACCCTTTCTTGAATTTCTTAATATCGATGATGTTGTCGCAACCGTCTTTCCGGTTGGGTCCCAGAATTGGGCTTTGACTTAGGAAAGTGGATTGGAGTCGCCACCGACCATTTTAAAACGAATTTAGGTGGGTCGGACACCATCTTACATGATCTGCGAGTTACCAGAAATGTGTCGAGTTCGGGAGTCGGTTACGGTCAAGGAAAGATTAGCACCCTTGGACCGCCCTTTCGGTACCAATTAATTTTTTGGTTGTCTTTAATTGCGAAAATTAAAAATTTAAATTGAAATTTAAAAACCCGATTCAAATTGCTTACCTTCGATCGATGGAAATTATTACTGAAAAAGTCAAAAATATTTGATTCAAACATACCCAATTTCAACAACATGCATCAAAAATTATTATTCAAATTCTTAATTAAGGCCAAAAGAGATATAATTATTGAATCATCAAATTATTTCCTAAGGCCCAATTATAAATAAGGATAATGAATGAGAGTATCTAGGTGTTAAAATTAAGGCCAATTAAAACCAATTAATAAATAATGTGAGTTTAGTGACACTAATTATCTAACTTAAATCCAATTATCCATTAATAAATAAATTTTAAAAAACACTGGTCGATCATTCTAGATGACTGCACAAGCAGGCCAACACATCTTGATTTCCAAATGCACATGAAGAGAAATAAAATATTAACAGACACACTGGAAGTCTAGTGCTCAAACCTAAGGAAAATTCTGTTAAATGTAAAATAAGACTGACAAAATAACACAGGATAAAGTTAAACAAAAACTTAAAAATGCTACAATAGATTCTTGGAAAAACAAAGATAAGAGTTAAACATGTGAGTACAAAGAGAAGATGGAAGTTTGCGGAGATTGAATACAAACAGAAGAACACATTTAAGTGGATTGGAAAGTAAAGATCTAGAAATACCCCAGAGATGAGATGTGATCTAACAAAAAATGCCAATGTCAAGAGAGGGAAAGAAACAAGGACGCAAATAGAAACTACAAAAGAACTAAACTGTTAGTAGTCTTACTGAGTCTGAGACCATAGTTTTGGATAATCAAGGCATAGCCAGTACTACATACACGAAGGACAAAAGATTAGATTTAATAGTATTCTTGTCGTTAGAGGTAAATGTACAACCATGAAATATATTCTATACGAGCGCTTTTGATCTTTAAAGGAAGTCATATGCGAGGAACGAGACATGACTCAGTTCAGATAAACAAATTAATATCCACTAAAAAAATAGATTAAACTTTTTCATTGGATAAAAGATCTAAAAAACACTCACACAAAAATCTTATAACAATGTAAATTACAACTCAACATCAACAACCAGTTTCAAGTTGAAATTTAAATATAATTCACGAGAAAGAATAAAAACTTTTCCAAGTAAACAATTATGCCAAAGAAAAATAAAATGCCAATCATCAAAGAAATAGATTGATATCAGATTACCCTTCTTAAGCTTCGGTGAGTGTACTGAAACTTGAAATGATCCCTTCTTTAAGTCTGAAAATTCGCCGTTGAACGTTCGTTCACCCAAGATTTGAAGGTTTGCTTGCGTCTTTATGTTTTGGCGTTTAACTTCTCTTGTTCAAGAAGCTCTTTCTCTTCTCTTTTCGCAGGTTCCTTTTCTCAAAGATTCGTGCTTTCTACTGTTTCTTTCCCCCCTTTCCTCCTTATTTTTGCCTCAATTTATAGCCATGAAACTGGCTATTTTTAGATAGATTTGTAGAGTCCTATTCAAACTGAAACGCTCCTTTATTTAGTTTTAGAGTCCCACTTGGACTCAAATGCCTTGATTTAGTATTTTGACTTGGTTGTTATTCTTGTTACCGAGAAATACGAGGATAGTATTGTTGGGCAAAAAATTAGTGTCTACAGCTGCCCCTCTTTGTCCTTTTTCGTGGAACGAAAAATAGGACAAAGATAAAAAGACACAAATTTTGTCCATATCGAACGTCTTCTGCCGTAGAGTTGAAATCCGATGCAATGACTGATCTGTTAATTTAAATTGAATCACAAAATGACTCCCTCGTCGTGAGGTCGAGTTGAACTGGAAACTTCTGAGTACGATATCCTTCGTTGTGAAGTTGAAATCAAACTCAAAGCTTTTGGCAAGTGACTCCTGGATCGTCTTCTGGCTCAAGATACTTCGTCGTGAAGGTGGAACTTGACCTGAAGACTTTGGTGTTGATGTGTTACAGATGACTCATTCGTCATGAAGTAAGGTCAACCTATTAGGGTATGATACCCTTCGTTGTGAAGTTGTATATGTATATGGCCCCTTTGTCGTGAAGTTGAGCCTGAGAATGGGATATCCTTCGTCGTGAAGTTGAAATCCAATGTAAGTTGCGTTGTTTCGAGGCCAATATCCTTCGCTGCGAAGTTGAAATTGACTCTGAAACTGGAAAGTGTGTTGACAGACACTCCTTCTTTGAGTTGAATATCCTTCACCGTGAAGTTAAAATCCAATCTAAAGATGGATGTTGCTTGTGTGCACGATTCCCTTCGTTGTGAAGTTGAAACCGTTGGTGACCCCTTCGTCGTGAAGTTGAGTCTGGAATTGGATATCCTTCGTCGTGAAGTTGAAATCCAAGTAAGTAGCATTGTTCCAAGTCCAATATCCTCCGCCGTGAAGTTGAAATTGGCTCTGGAACCGGGAAATTGGTTGTTGACAACCAGCCGTCTCTTCGTTGTGAAGTTGAACTTGTGTTGTCTCGAGTCCAACATCCTTCGTTATGAAGTTGAAATTGATTCTGAATGAAATTTTGTTGACAAGCAGCGGTCCCTTCGTCGTGAAGTTGAACTTGCGTTGTCTGGAGTCCAATATCCTTCGTTGTGAAGTTAAAATTGGCTCTGAGATTGGGAAGTTGTTGTTGACAAGCAACGGTCCCTTCGTCGTGAAGTTGAACTTGCGTTGTCTGGAGTCCAATATCCTTCGCTGTGAAGTTGAAATTGGCTCTGAAATTGGGAAAATTTGTTGACAACCAGCGGTCCCTTCGTCGTGAAGTTGAACATACGTTGTCTGGAGTCCAATATCCTTCGATGTGAAGTTGAAATTGGCTCTGAAATTGGGAAGTTGTTTATTGACAACCAGCGGTCCCTTCGTCGTGAAGTTGAACTTGCGTTGTCTGGAGTCCAATATCCTTCGTTGTGAAGTTGAAATTGGCTCTGAAATTGAGAAGTTGTTTGTTGACAACCAGTGGTCCCTTCGTCGTGAAGTTGAACTTGTGTTGTCTGGAGTCCACTATCCTTCGCTGTGAAGTTGAAATTGACTCTAGAATTGGAAAATTGTTTATTGACAACCAGCGGTCCCTTCGTCGTGAAGTTGAACTTGCGTTGTCTGGAGTCCAATATCCTTCGTTGTGAAGTTGAAATTGGCTCTGAAATTGAGAAGTTGTTTGTTGACAACCAGCGGTCCCTTCGTCGTGAAGTTGAACATGCGTTGTCAAGAGTCCAATATCCTTCGTTGTGAAGTTGAAATTGGCTCTGAAATTGGGAAGTTGTTGTTGACAACCAACGGTCCCTTCGTCGTGAAGTTGAACTTGCGTTGTCTGGAGTCCAATATCCTTCGCTCTGAAGTTGAAATTGGCTCTGAAATTGGAAAGTTGTTGTTGACAACCAGCGGTCCCTTCGTCGTGAAGTTGAACTTGCGTTGTCTGGAGTCCAATATCCTTCGCTGTGAAGTTGAAATTGACTCTGAAATTGAGAAGTTGTTTGTTGACAACCAGCGGTCCCTTCGTCGTGAAGTTGAACTTACGTTGTCTGGAGTCCAATATCCTTCGTTGTGAAGTTGAAATTGGCTCTGAAATTGAGAAGTTGGTTATTGACAACCAGCGGTCCCTTCATCGTGAAGTTGAACTTGCGTTGTCTGGAGTCCAATATTCTTCGTTGTGAAGTTGAAATTGGCTCTGAATTTGAGAAGTTGTTTATTGACAACCAGCGGTCTCTTCGTTGTGAAGTTGAACATGCGTTGTCTGGAGTCCAATATCCTTCGTTGTGAAGTTGAAATTGGCTCTGAAATTGAGAAGTTGTTTGTTGACAACCAGCGGTCCCTTCGTCGTGAAGTTGAACATGCGTTGTCAAGAGTCCAATATCCTTCATTGTGAAGTTGAAATTGGCTCTGAAATTGAGAAGTTGATTGAGGTGTAGCTTCTTACTGTCGAGTTAATCAACCACCATCCTTCTTTGAAGGCACTTGAGAATCGAGTATTCTTCATCCTGAAGTCAAAACTTGACTCTAAAAGCTGCAAAAACGTGTATGCTAAAATGATGAATGTGATGCACCTAAGTATGTTTAAGATGCATGCAATATGGATGAATTATGTGTTATCTTCTGGATGGAGTCTCGTGCTTTGTCTGTCAATCAGGTCCTTGGAATGGATCGTGCCCCATTTGCTTCCCGAGCTTTGGCTTTACAGACCTTTCATATTTGAGACTGTTCTGCTTGAAAATGTTTCTCTCATTTTTCTTGTTTTAGGAGAGAGACATGATAAAAATGTTGTAAAATATTGTTCGCAATTGAATCAAATTGTAAATGTGAGTTCAAAAAATATCAAAGGAATCAAGAGCTCTTTTAATGCTTTCAGAGTTACAGCTCTTTGACAAACGTTCAAAGGGATGAGTTGGCTTTAGGTTGGCCTCCTTTCTAAGGTTTTGGTAACCCAAAATGTCATTTTTTTTAAATATCGAAATATACTTTGGCATTTCATTTGGGTGCGGACATAATGACGCAACTAGAATGACCAATTACTAGA